TCCTTTTACATAGACGATTCTACATCCAAGATTTATCAAACAAAAATAAACATAATCCATTTACTCATATGCATAAATACTAGGGTTTTTTCTCTCTCCCGAAATAGCACTCAAAGACACAAATACATATCCTTTCAATCACACTACAAGAACTTTTTTCAAGATCTTTTTATAGCAATTTTTCTACTGTTCATAAATACTTCGGTAAGTCAACTTCATCTTAATTTTAGCCTGTGGATTATTGGGTACAACACGGGGGAAATGAAAAGAAAACCATTACAAAATGAAATAAAATTCTTCAAAATGTTAACATCTGAAGATGTTTTTAATATTTAAGGTGTATTTTAAGTTAGCGAAAGTCCAAATAACTATCCATTCCTGGGAAATAATGGGTGTCGGCCCTACGGGCCTCCGCTCCATTATTTTCCAGGAATGGACAGTTATTTAGACTTTTTCTATAACATTAGTAAATAGGAGAAATAATATATATTCTTACGTATTTGTTCATAAAACTTTGATTGTTTAGAATTGACAACAATCAATACATACATGAAATACAGGAGTTTAAAATTGACTAATAGATTTTAATCATATCTGAAACATTTGAAAAGAAAGGAAAAAGAAATCGAATTAGGAAAATGAAAATGAAAAATAAAACTGATAGAATAACATAAACACACAACTGCTTCGTAAAGAAAAACCCTGCTCCACTTTTTACACCAATTGTGTTGTTCATTTCAAATTAGAACATGAAGATACATTTGATGATGTCTCAATTGGATAATTGGACAAAAAAATGTCAGTTTCACACGAGTAACTGTATAGAAGAATTTGCTACAAAGGAGACGATTGATCATTCCTTATTGTTAATTTTCCCTATTTGGACAGTGATGTCTCTTAAGTACCTTCTAAATGTGTGTATATATCACAACTGGTTTGCTATGCCTGTGTATGTAGTCGAGTTTAGATTTCAATAACCGTAACTTGTGTATTACTGGTAAATTATTTAGTCATAGATGTCGTTGCCAAAAAATATAAAACTTTTACTAAAGTTGTTCATAGATACCACGATTTGACTAGGAAGTGTTTTCTGTGAGATATCTCATTCTGACGTTCTCGGTGATGTAATCTATAGAGCCGGTGAATGTAGATACATCCATCTTAACTCAATGATCCATTGCATAAACTTATTATTTAAGGTTATCAATTTATCACTGTAGTAAAATCCTTAGATATTGGTTTTTGATAGGTTCTTGCATTGATTTTGAGAATTGAGATATTTCGTAATATATATTGCTATATTTGAACAGTTATCATAACATGTATAACTCATGATCCTAGATCTTGTCGATACTATTTACTTGTATTTTTTCATTGCACAAGGCTATTCTTTCTTAGACAGTTTATGACGTCATAACACTAAATCAATTGGACGTGAACTACTTGATACTTAAGCCTTGGAGAACAAGATTTTTTAATTAGTTTTATTTGGCTTTGAGCAATGTTGAGCTAGCTATCAATAGCTGCAAGTACTCTTAGATCGATTGTCTGTGTCTATTAAATTTTGTGCTCCGAACCGGTATATTAAGTCAAGCCATTTCCAACTGTTTTTTACAGTTTGTTCTTATGATGCAGTGTTACAACACTGTCCCAGTTTAGGGGAAGTCTAACTCCACTACATTCAATATATTTGTCACAAGTCAGGATCCTGTTATTCAGCGGTTGTCGTTGATTTATGTCTGTCGTATTGTTCTTCCTACATTTTATTGCGGTAAAGTAGTCAGTTAGTTTTCTGGTTTTTATTGATTCACATTTTTGATGTCGGGGCCTTTTATAACTGATTTTAAATTTTGTTAATAAGTTTAGCAAGACATTTTTGAATTTGGGGTCCTCAATGCTCTTGAACTTGGCCGTTTTAATTTTTGATTCGCGCGTCACGTATGAGACTTTTGTAGATGAAAAGCGCGTTTAGCTTACAAAAGTTTAATCCTGTCGAGTGATGAGTTTATGATGAGTTTTTCTCATTGTTAACGGTCGTAATGTAACCTATAGTTGCTTGTATCTACGTCATTTGAATTACGGTGGCAGTTGTTTCCTTGGCAATCAAACCACTAGTATTTTGTTTCATACTATCTGTTTCTGTGGTATCCTTTATTTCAAAAAACATATTTATATTAATAAACTTCTATTTCCTCAGTTAAGTAAGATAATATGTTTTCTGGTAATACATCTTTCTTTTTTATTAAAAAAGATTCCCGCAGGCTAAAAAATACATCTTTGGTAAAATGTGCACCTTGTAATCAGTAGAAAGATCTTTTGTAACCTAGTCTTTGTCTACCAGTTGTTGGAGTTTTGACCTCCTTTACATGATAAAAGTTAATCAAAAAGAAACATGTATTTCTAAACGGCTATAATGAAATGAGCATAAAATCTATTTGCTGAAAAAAATAATTCATATATTTAATATGTTGGTTTACTGCGGATCATGTGTGCATTACCATATAAGTTTCATTTATACATCACTGATTAACGTTTTAATATTCAGTTTAAATAAATTAAACAAATTTCTTTTTATCTTCTTTTGAAGACAAACTATAAACCACAAAGAAAACAACTTGATCTGCTCACCTAACTTTGGAAATAACAAATCCAATTGAGCTTGGTTAATAACTCTTCTTTTTTTCAGAGGTTCTAATGTTGAAGATCTTGTTTGATTAAAAACTATCTTTAATCCACCAGGATGGAATTCTCTGTCAAATCTTACCCTGACAGCAGAGGGTGCAACTCTGATTAACAAGTGGGCAATACGAAGATAATTTTCTTCCTCTGATAATATATCTAAACCTCCACTGCCAGTAAAAACGTTCGTCATCTTATTATAAGTAAATAAAAAACATTCTTCAGATAACATTGTAAACATTCTTATTCTTAAGACTACAATGCCAACGACAATATGAAAACCAATAAAATCAAAGGTACGGAAAATGGCATGCAAAAATAAACCATGATAATACATCTTATAATAAGGGGATGTAAACATTAATGTGACAAAGAACATATATTTTTCTTGTGAGCTTCCCTTAAAAGATTTTTCTTTTATCCATATGCAATTAAAATAGAATTAATGATAATCATTAACCATAATGGTACCAATGTAAGCTGCTTCAAATGCTTAATTCGTCAATTAATATTTATTCAGTGATACTCTAGGCCTACATATGCAAAAATCCAAATCCTATTACAAACTTTGAAGAGCAAGTAAATTCAAAAGGATATAAAAAGTATACTAAATCCAGACAAGGCATCAGAGCTTTTAATCCAACATTGGTTTTCCAGAAAAGTTCGGGATTTACAAAAAGGAATAGTGCTTGGGATTCTTAACTTTTTTCAACCTGACTACAAACTACAAATAATCTTAATTTATTTTATTCAACTTCCTCAAAAAAAACTTTTTTCACATTTACATTCCAACCTTAGACTATAAGCTACATTTAATTTCCAAAAGAGCAACTCAGTATGGAACATCCAGTGGTTGCAACCTATTTTGCATGTTGTAGTGATTTCTTTCAGAAAACATTTCTTTAACAAGAATATTATGCCCCCCATTGAACAACAGTAACATTATGAATCCATGTCTTATACAAAAAAAGGTACAATCATGCATCTTTATATGACAATTATCAGATCTTTCAAATCAACAAGGCATTTAGGTTCACGATTGTATTTCTTATTTTAAAGAAAGCAATTTGCTTAAATTAATGTTTTATATATACACAAATAACAGTATAATAGCTTGTATGATGACTCATCATAACAGGAAGACATAGTGAATATTAACGATTTTATCTTGACATCTTCCGGAGTTTTAAAATAAAACAGATTTATTTCTACATAGCTAAGTTTGACCTTGTACATTTTACTACACGATGTATTTCATTATAAGTATTATATACATCAAATAAATAAAAAGTTAGTTTAATATATACATGTCATTATTTCATTAATAAATAATAACTTATTAGAAAGTAATCACTCGATCCGATAAACATGTTTCGTAGAATAATAATAAAAAAAATATGTGTAATTCCATTTATATACGCTAAACAAACGTTCATCTTTTGCACGTTATCAAAGTTCATATTTTCAAGTTTACTGTACTCTAATCATATTATTTAATCACGTATTCTAGAGGGAAATGTCCTTGGCGATACACTGGTTCTATACACAGAACAGCTTCCATGAGTCTCCGCTGTCTCCACTCCCTTGTAGAGACTGTTTTTGCCTTTGTTGTTTAATGTGCCACGTTCTTCGTTTCTGTACACTTGTTTCATCCCGTCACATTCTGTATGTGCCTGTCCCAAGTCAGGAGCCTGTATTTGAGTGGTTGTCGTTTGTTGCTGTACAAGTATATCATAGGTTTATGTGGTTATTTTTTTATGCATAAATAAGTCCGTTAGTTTTAAACTTTAAATTGTTTAAATTGCTAATTTGGGGGAATTTTATAGCTGACTATGCGGTATGGGTTTTGTGCATTGTTGATGGCCATACGGTGACCAATTGTTGTTAACAGTTATGTCATTTGGCATCTTGATGAGATTTGTCTCAATTGCAATCATACCAGATCTTCTAATTCTTATATTTACAAGTGGTTGATACATGTGGTAGATTCGTTTCTTTGCCTTTTTGTTAAATCTTCTTAAATATTTGTTTTTCCATTAGATATTGTCTGAGATCATAGAGTAAAACAAAGATTCAATCAGAGGAAATCCATTTAAAAGAAAGTAGTTCGTACACAATTCACAACAAGCTTCGTTGTATGATTTTAACACTATTTGTTATTAAGCTATGTTATATGTTTGTAAACCTTCAAATCAGCGTACTTTTGTTACTCAAGCATCATATTCTGTTTGCCATAATTTATGGACAAGAAATAATAAGCTTTATTTGTACAGTATACATTAAAATTAATTAGTAAAGTGTCTCTTTAAAGCTATTAAAACAACACTTTTTACGACTTTTGGTTGATATCCATTTCATTAGATGAGGAGGAAGAGAAAGTTAAGTCAAAACGAGGCAATACCGGGTAATCAGCTGATCTTATGTCAGTTGAACATACTCACCTTGACCAGAAAAAGATCAATAGAATGTAATCCTCTCATTATATGTGTTGATTAAAAATGACTATATGAATATAAGCTTAAGATAAGAGGTTTTAGCTAAAATTTGTCAGTAAAAGTTTAAAGAATGAAGATCCACGGTTTAGTAACTGTAACACTGCTAAAAATGTTGTGAACTGTTGTATTTATATATGTGAATAACACAAAGTTTTATTTGAGTATATTAATAGTAAGTGTGAATTTACTCCTGACATCTATAGGGCCGACATGGAATACGAGATAAATTTTCCAAAGGGACATGTGTGTCGAATACTCTCTCAAAAAAATAATTATAAAATGCCAAAGTCAATACTTTTGATTTTTGTATATAGATGAAGCCCCGCAAAAACTAATAAGATTAAAAATTAAAGTAGAAGGTGCACAAGAATCATTCTAATGCAACATCGTTTGTAACGTTCATTTTGATTGGATAACGTCACAATTTGCATGGCATCAATTCACAATTGATGCTATGAAATCATTCTCGCAAGCGCAGACGACGTATGACAGATTTTAAATTTATGTTTAGACGTGGGTTTCTGTCTGTTTCATTAGAATGTAGATAACAATATTGTATTTTAAGCTCCGACGGCATCAAATCACCAATTGATGCTGTCAGAGCTTAAAATACAATACAGTTATCTCCTAAGTGCAAGTTTCTTGGAATTCTGCCAATAGTCAGAGAACCGCGGCAATCTGTATTCATAAGTTATATTTATTTAACGAAAAGGCGATTGCAAAAACAGGATTTTTAAATTGTGTTCTGGATGTGAGGTATACTGCATTGGCTATGATTCCTTCTGCCTGCCTCAAAATCGAACAACAAAAAAAACTTCATTATTGTCTGGTTGATTTCAAAAAGGATAATTTATCAAATGAAACGTGACATTTGTTTGAACTAACTTATTTCAGTACAAAGCTGAGGTTTCGATATGTTTCTACTCTGAACGTTCGAGTGGAATTTGTTGCCTGTAGTATAAATGCATTGCGATCCGACATATCTTGAACATGAAAGCCAATGACCAAATCGTACAAACCAGTTTGATTTGTTTTTCAAAACGGTTTAAGTTCGGGATTTACAGAAAGGAATACAGCTTAGGATTTTTTAAATTTTTTTCAAACTGACTACAAACAACAAATAATCTTAATTCATTTCATTCATCAACTTCTCCAAAACAACTATTCTTACATTAACATTTCAATATAAAACAGTAAGATACTTTTAATTTCCAAAGGAACATCCTGTAGTTGCTAACCTATTTTGCATGTTGTAGTGATTTCTTTCAGAAAATATTTCTTAAACAAGAATATTATTCCCAACATTGGACAACAGTATCTTTAAGAATCCATGTCTTATACAAAAAAGGTACAATCATGCATCTTTATATGACAATTATCAGATCTTTCAAACCAACAAGGCATTTAGGTTTACGATTGTATTTTTTTTTTAAAGAAAGAAATTTGCTTAAATTAATGTTTTATATATACACAAATAACAGTATAATAGCTTGTATGATGACTCATCATAACAGGAAGATATAGTTTATGAATATTAACGATTTTATCTTGACATCTTCAGGAGTTTCAAAATAAAAACGATTTATTTCTACATTAGCTGAGTTTGACCTTATGCATTGTACTACACAATGTATTTCTTTTAAAATACGTATAGTACACATCAAATGAATATAAAATTAAGTATTACATATACATGTCATTCTTTCATAACTAAAATAATAACTTACTAGAAAGTAATCACTCGATCCGATATTCATATTTCGTAGAATGATAAAAAAAATATATGTGAAATTCCATTTACATACATAAAATTAACGTTTATCTTTAGCACGTTGTTTAAGTTCATATTTTCAAGGTTGCAGTACTCTAACCATATTATTTAATCACGTATTATAGAGGGAATTGTACTTCGAGATATACTGGTTCTTCAGACAAAACAGCTTCCACGAGTCTCCACTGTCTCCTCCCCCTTGTAGAGACTGTATTTGCCTTTGCTGTTTTTCATTTCTGTACACTAGTTTCATCCTGTCACATTCTGTATGTCCCTTTCCCAAGTCAGGAGCCTGTTATTGAGTGGTTGTCGTTTGTTGATTTATATCATATTTGTGTGTCGTTCATTTTTTATGCATAAATAAGTCCGTTTACTTAGTTTTCTACTTTAAATTCTTTTAAATTTGTCATTTCGGGGCATTTTATAGCTGACTATGCGGTACGGGTTTTGCGCATTGTTGATGGCCGTGCAGTGACAAATACTAGTAGTTGTAAACTTCTATATCATTTGGTATCTTGTAGAGATTTGTCTCAATTGCAATCATACCAGATCTTCTTATTTTTATATTTACAAGTGGTTGATTATAGCGTAGAATGGTACATGTGGTAGATTCGTTTCTCTGCCTTTTTGTTAAATCTTTTTAAACTTTTTGTTTTTCATTAGATATTGTTTGAGATCATGGAGTAAAACAAAGATTCAATCAGAGGAAATCCATTTAAAAGAAAGTAAGAATTCTTTGCTTTGAATTATGGTACGTACACAATTCACACCAAGCTTCGTGTTATTATTTAAGTCTTTCCACTTTTCTGTGGAAAGTCCTATTGTATTTGTTCTGATTATTATTATTAGGTCTTTCCACTTTTTTGTGGAAAGACCTATTGTATATGTTCTGATAATTATTATGTCTTTCCACTTTTCTGTGGAAAGACCTATTGTACTTGTTCTGATTATTAGGTCTTTCCACTTTTCTGTGGAAAGACATATTGATTTTCTTCTGGTTATTAGGTCTTTCCACTTTTCTGTGGAAAGACCTATTGATTTTCTTCTGATTATTAGGTCTTTCCACTTTTCTGTGGAAAGACCTATTGATTTTCTTCTGGTTATTAGGTCTTTCCACTTTTCTGTGGAAAGACCTATTGATTTTCTTCTGATTATTATTAGGTCTTTCCACTTTTCTGTGGAAAGACCTATTATATTTGTTCTGATTATTATTATTATTAGGTCTTTCCACTTTTCAGTGGAAAGATCTATTGTATTTGTTCTGATTATTATTATTAGGTCTTTCGACTTTTCTGTTATTTCCCCTTCTGAATTTGACATAAGGGATATATTAATATATAGCATGAATGGTAAGTGATAGAGATCTAAGGTATATTGATTTGAGTTCCTTGGTTCATTTAAATGAAATTGAGGCCAAGATCAAAGGTCAAGGTCATATTCTAAATTTTGACTTTTCCTTGTTATTTGATCTCCTCTGTCACTTTTAAAATTACAAATTAAAGAACTAGTGCAAAATGTTTGCTTAATTGTGATTAAGATATGATACATTTGGTCTGAAACAATCCAATGATATCTTATAGGAGTTATTGTCCCTGAAATGATTCAATTTAAGTTTAATTGATTATTACATGATAAAGCCATAGGGTCTTTTGCAAACTGTTGGTTGACATATGACCTTGAAAAAAGTAAACCGGAAGTGACCTTGAGTGAACCGGAGTATTTTTTGCACTTATTTCATTGAAAAGTACCTTGAAACCATATATTTTTTGAATGATCATAGGTTAACCTATCATTTGAGACCGGAAGTGACATTTTTTAAACCGGAAGTAGCATATTATCTTCCTTATTACAGGCATAAGTATATACAAACTATATATTTTTGGAATCAGTGTGAATAAAGCTATCATATGAGACCGGAAGTGACATTTTCTAAACCGGAAGTTGGCAATTAACTCCCTTATTTCAGGCAAAAGTATATAAAAACCATTTATTTATTGAATCAGTATGAAGAAATCTATACTTTGACGCTATTAATAACTTTGAGTAAACCAGAAGTAGCTTCCTATCAATTATTTAGAAAATTTATGTGGAAAGACCTTCAATTGTTCTTTGAACAATTGGTTTTTGATATTGTATTAACATCTCTTCTGAATAAAAAAATCCACATGCTGTTATCATATCTTCTCTGAAACTACATGTCCAATTGACCTCAAAATTTGCAGTCAGCAGGGTATACATGTTTTACATCTTTATAGAACAACGTGGTGCAGCTACCTCCCAAGAATTTTCGTAGAGAAAAGAAATTGCAATGCCGTAAAAATCGCTTGCTAGCTCCGTAAATCTCAGGGAAATCCTACAATAAAATGTCTGCTCCTAGATTAAAATACAAATCTGTGTTACAAACTGCTGCTGAAAAATGTACATTGTATGAAAATAATCGATAAACGTGTTTTAAAGTTACACAGGATCAATTAAATCCAAAGCATGCACTGCTCGTGAACTGTGATCGAAACGTCAATTACCTACAATGAAAAAAGAAATACATTGTGTGTATTCCGTCGCTATACATGTTGTCTGTCCAACGTCCCCACCTAAAAAGAAATAAAAATACTAAGTTTTCGCTATTATAAAGCTTCGTCACGTGATGCCACAATCTGGCGCGAGACAAAGAGAGCGCGGGACCTAATATAGAATAAAAACTTTCCAAACTAAATATAGAAACTTAACCAACACACTAATATGGACCTTTTAAAGAAAGAAAGAAAGAAAAAAAAAAAAGAAACAAACAAACAAACAAACAAACAAACACATATCAATCAATCGTGTTTCAGAAAGGGGAAAGACCGTTTACAATTGCTTTTTTAAAGCTATTGATTCATATTTATTAGGTCTTTCCACTTTTCTGTGGAAAGACCTATTGTATTTGTTCTGATTATTATTAGGTCTTTCCACTTTTCTGTGGAAAGACCTATTGTATTTGTTCTGATTATTATTAGGTCTTTCCACTTTTCTGTGGAAAGACCTATTGTATTTGTTCTGATTATTATTATTATTATTTTTTTTTTTTCTTCCGCCAAATTTTGTTCTTGCGATAAATGTTTGTTTCG